GTAGCGCTTGTGGGCAGTATGAGAGAATGAGAAGAGTGGCGGGGCACGGCTAGTACCGTAGTACAGCCAAATCCTTAGCGGTCACGTGCCTGCGCGCCCTAGTAGATTAGCCTTCTCCCTCCTTCTGAGATAGATTCTGCAGGTAGATAGAATTCCATCCATCCCCTTCATCAAGAGCCTCATCAGCCCCCAACAACAAACCTTATCATGGTAGAGGATAGTACTGTACGGGCACTTACCTGGCCCGCATCTAGAAACCCAAGCAGCATCATGAAGTTTCGTACCAGACGACGGATCTCTACAGCTCTTTGGCCTGAAACGTTTTCTTTCGGACCTCGAAGTCTATTTTTCTCTTGTCAAAAGTAGGCCATGTGTATTCGACGTATTTATAGACTATTACCATCTAGTGATCAACGCTGCTCGACCTGCTCTATCACGTGCTCTTGTTTGGCTATCATAACAATTGTGGCGCCGCTTCAAAATTAGGGATATTATTACCATTCGCAGAAGACGACTACATAAAGAAAGCCCCCCCGACTGTCTGTTTAAGAGAGTTGTCATCTAGCAATCATGCGTGAAGATAGGATTGACAGTGTCTCTTATGGAAGAACTGCTGACGCCCAATCTGTCCGTCAAACCCTAGCCACACAGAGCTCACCAAGAACGGGTACACATCATCAGCTGATGGGTGCAGACAACCTCTCGGTACGACTGACTGGTCGAAGTGGTCGTGCAGAGACGCTGAACCCCAACCCACTCCATGGAAACCATCCCACTGCCGTGCCAGCTCTTGTACCAGTTGGGACGCCTCTGACAGAATATTTGAAGGCAGGCCAAATGATGCCAATTCCCTTCCAAGCTGTCAGGCCTTCGATGAGACCACCAGTGCCAGTCGATCTCAATGCACAACTTAGAAGTAGGTCCGACATTATTTCAGTCCCTTCACCAGCTTCCAGTCGTTCATCGAGCCTGCCAACACGAAGATCACCGCATATTAGTCCACGAAAAAGGGCTGAGGCCGAGCCAGATGCAGTTCCGTCATCCCCGTCCGGGCTTTTATCAGCTACGCCGAGTGTGCCACAGACGTTTCACACGCCTTTAAAAAGATCCCTAAGTGCATTCCGAGCGTCCGTCGAGCCTTCGATACAACTTCGTCATCCAGCTCAGGCACATGGCTGGTCTTCCACAAGCCCACCCGATTCTGGAGTCCGCCCTATCAAGATCGGTATTGAGAGCGAGTTCTATCTAGAAGCCAGAAATACAGCTAACTCCAGAGATACCTTGGAAGAATTCATAGATGTCCTCACAGCCAATCATAACAGACAGTTGCCAGCACATTCTCAGATGCGGAGAACTCTCAGACCTTATGAATATAGTGGTAACTACTATGGAAAATGGTGTTTTGTCAAAGAGCCAACCATCGGCACCGTGCATGAACCATGTAAGTTATTTCATTCCCAGCAATCCCTTGATTTAGAGCCCACAATGGTTAACGTAGCTAAAATTCACGTAGGGGGCATTGAGTTAGTATCACCTATATTTTGGGCGTGTCCTGGTTCCACGTGGCGGAAGGAAGTTGAAGCGACTTGGGAATATCTCGAACGGCAGTATAGCATCACGAAAAGCACCTCTTGTGCGACGCATATTCATGTTTCGTTCCAGCCACCAGGCATATTCACACTGGAAGACATCCGGCGGATCGCACTTGCAATTTTACACTTCGAAACAGCCTTCGAAGTCCTGATACCGCCAGACCGTAGACGGAACCCTTATGCCAAAAGCAATTGGCTTGTCGGCCAACATTTGGGGCTGAAGAACAAATCTCGACCAGAATCTATGGCTGCTATAAACGATGCGACTGACATGATACAGTTAATACATTTGATGCAACCCGTCTACGATAGGGGCTATGCTTGGAATTTCAACAACTTATTTGACAGCAAACGCACAATCGAATTCCGCAAACCTCCAGGAAGCACAACAGCGAACCAGGCTCTAGCGTGGGCTGAGTTGGCATTGTCATTCGTCCAAGCAGCTGTCAGATATGGCACTCTAGAAAAACTGCAGAAAGTGCCATCCACTGTGAGAGGTTTATATTGGTTCATGGAGCAAGCAATCGTACCTGGCATGAACGAGCCTGGTCGGTTGGAACGCTTATTCGATGGCACAGCTCCGGACGTGGCGCTAGAGCCTCAAGGGATACGTTTGGATTTATCGTACAGAGAGGAACGGCAGTGGGATGAGGCGAGTAAAAGGAAGACGGCAGCAGATGAAAGGCGGGTTATTATGCATGCAAAGACTGTGCAAGATCCATATTGGTAGTGAAGGACTGCTCAATGTCTCAAATTACTGAAGTAATATATATATTATTCAATTTAACGTCCGTTGGGTTCCCTATTGGGCCATGTACTGAAGTAATATACGAAGCAACTTATAGTTAAACCGGAAACTGTCTATTATTGAGGTTCCCTTCATGACGTGATCATGGTTAAGGCTATGTGGCAGAATGAAAGAGACGGACAGTCGCCAGGATCATCCATTTGTATGCCTCACCACCATTGTCACTAGTTAGGTGGCCTGTTCGGTAGGCAATGTGACCTTGAAGTTGGGGCTCGGCTAGTGCAGCTCCAATTGTCCCAAGAAACAAGTACTTCGCTCTTAAAAGGCATTGGCCTGCGCAAATCCCCCATCAGTGATTATCGTCTGCGTTAGCGAAGCCTCGCAACCGATGGGTCATTACTCGGAAGATTACCAGCTCGTTCGTCGACTCGGCTTCGTGTATGAACCTCGAAGTGCCTTTCGTATGGCAACAACAAATATCGCCAATATCACAGCGAAGACTTTTGCTGAGTGAGTCGCAACTACAGGCCAATCGCATCATGAGGAACAATCGCTGAAACGTTCATCGTAGGCTTCTCTCCGGACCCATGATCGATATCTACGTTGGTGCATCAAAGCGACATTGGTCGCTACATCGCAACATTCTTACCCATCATTCCAGCTTTTTCGAGGAAGGAGACGTCCATGTGGACAGCAAGGTCGAGAGAAGCTCGATCGAATTATTGGATGAGGATCCTACTGCCTTTGAACTGCTCGTCAAATGGCTCTATCAGGGAAAAATCGATGATGTTTCTACACTTCCAGTTGACCAGAAATGGAACCATGCGGATGCTTGTCAGAAACTATATACTTTGTGTCACAAATTGCAAATGACACAATTGAAGAACCTGGCGATTGATCAATTCCGCAAGGGGTGCAATGAAGCGGGTTTGGTTCCAGGCCCCGAGGAGATGAGGCCCATTTACGAGAAAACACCACCTTCTTCTCCATTTCGCAAGCTTGTCAGCAGGATTGCTGCCAGACAAATCATGGATCCGGATGGCAACAAGGACGCCGTGACATACAGAGATTGCTTCGAAAGCAACGCCGATTTCGCAATAGACGTTATCAATGCTATCAAGGATGGCGCTGGACCTTCGCTATTTGACGATCCAACTGAAGGCAACTCTTGCAAATACCATGAACATGAGAATGGTGAAACCTGTCATAAGACAGTCAAATTCAAGAAGGGCTCCTGAACTGCGAGATGGGACCACCAGCAAACATCATTCTTCCGCTGTCTACTCAAAAATGCGCCACCAGCAAAGAGGTTTCGTAATCGACCACGACTACGAAATCAGCCTTCTGAACAGACTAGGAATTTTCACACTATCTCAGGATTGGTGCCCTTTGCGAAGTGGAGAACCTTTCTACACGACCGAAACGTCCATCCCAAAACAGCATCAATCGCGCAATCGGATCCAACCAGAGTCAATGCACTCCTCTCAAAGGATGCAGGAAAGGTACAACCAATCTCTACTGCTAGATATCTCACAAAGCCGTACACCATTCCCCTGATGTTGAGTAGAATCACACTTCCGTGATATCGAGAGGCGGATGCGGAGCTGTGTGCTGATAGAGCTCCTCTACTGTAAAATAAGATTCCAATGCAGGCCTGCAGTCCTGGCACACATATCTGACATGGAGTCGGAAGATATGACAAGCACAAATTGATGAATGGCTGCATACCTTTCGCAAATATGGCAAGTGACGATCAGGATGTGATGGTGGCCTGGGTCTGCATCACATGAATGCAGAAGGTTTGAAAAAGTTGAAGTTTCGCCAGAGAGTGCTGTCGAGACCAATTCCGATCCTCGGAGACCCGGACCACTTTTATAAAATTGCATCGACCAACCGTCGAATGCAACTAGAACGAAGCCAATGTCCATCAGCTTGACGTCTTGTTTGTGAGTTGTACAGTGCGACTTTTCTATTCGAGATTCTAGCACGTGCAAGTTCGACTATCATGCATTCTCTAAGAGTCTCGGACCCTTGCAGCTGAACTCGGCGGTTTGATGACTTGGGGAGTGCACTAAGTACTCGGCTCAGCTAGCACCGTTGACATTGTCTGTAAGGAATTGAGGAAAGAGATCATGGAGCTGAGACAAATGGCTGATTTGATACTCTGCTGCTCGCCGGGCTGGAGCCTGTACCCCTGGCTCTACTAAATGTACAGTATGCCACCCTCTAGCATGAGCGTGCGTACAATTGAGATAAGAATCATCTTTCCAGAATCAGCAACAGGAACTAAGGACATGCTCGGATCACCTACCAACAAAATAGCACTGGTCCGCTGCTGGTGCGCCTGCCTCCCTTTCCGCCTTTTCGAACATTTCAGGCCGAGGCTTACACAACAGCTCTTCTGCGGTATAGTCGCAATACGTGATGCCCTCAAAGCAGTCCTCGACTCCCAGCAGTCTAATAACCCTCTTGCCATGCGTGATATGAGCGTTCGTGAACAACCACATCTTGACCTTGTCTTTGTCAAACCTCTCTAGTAAGCGACGAAGCTCGGGATCTGGTTCCAAGATTTCGTCCAAAGGCAAAGCATCATCAACCTCGCGGTTGAATTCTAGTGGCTGGATCTTGTGGTGACGGTACAGCCCTTCGATGGCCAATCCATATTCCTTATAGTACTTCTGATGGAGCATTAAAGCGTCTCCGGCAGACAGGGAAAGATGTTTGATGAAGAACTTGTCTATCAGATCCTGCATGATATCGTGCACTCTCTTGTTCCTAGGATAAAGGCAATTGTCGATGTCCATAAATAGTATAGGTCTCTGGCAATGACCTCTGTAGCCCGAAGATTCCATGGTCAAAAAGCAACATGCGATGATGGTTAAGCTGGCAGCTTGGGAAGTCTTACTGGAGGTAAGGAGAGGTGTGCGAGGGCCTACGTGGTAACCAAGTCGCCGCACAAGCCTTGGGACACCGAGTAGATAATGATGGCTTAAAGGATCGTACTAGAATGTCATCGTCACCACTATGTAACTTGGATACTCCTTATGAGTAAGACATTCAAGTACAAGTTGCAGCCATGTTGGCGCCAAGATATCTCAAAGGACGCTAACGATTCGGACTTTTTTCCAACACAAAGTTGCGGATCGTCTCCTTTTTCTTCATCACTCGACACCACTTACACGCGACCAACAATTACACCAGGACTTTCCCATGTTCAGAAACAACCACCGTGCTTCTCCCACGCTCGTCATGAGCTACATCTGAAGCTGTACAGGAAGTTTTCTGACCTGTTCGGCATCATAGCAAGTGCGAGCATGTCCATCACAGCTGGAATGCAAGCGCCAGTAAATGGTCTCCCTCGACGACCGACCGAGGTCAACGAGGCCCTAGAGTACGAGAAGATTCTCAGCATCTACCATCAGGTAATAGCAGGAAACCACCCAAGATTGAAACCATCTGGACCTGTGAATGCGCAGCCTCGAGCAAGTCTAGCTCAATGTTCCTCCCAGGCTCCTTCCACAGCGCCGGCTCCCCTAGTGTCGGCATCAGCACTGCCGACTCCATTAGCAGGACTGCGATCTAGCAACATTGTAAAAGAACTGCCGCCAAAGCCAGCAAGCTTGAGTGGACCGTCTCTTTCCTCTCAACCAATCCTTTCCAAACCCCCAGCATCAGAGTTAGATCCAATATTTTTGACGAAATCAGATGACCTAGTTAAGGCAGAGATACAGCTACAACGTCAGCGAGTGGAACGCACCTTGCGCGAGCAAGTGGAACAGAAAAGGGTCGATGCAAGACACAAGCCATCCTTTGCAGAAGCTAAACCCGACTTTGATGTGGCTGATGTACTAACCAAAGCATTGACGCGTGTCAAACCTGTTGTATTCGATTCACCTCATGGTGTCAACGAAAATGACTCGGCCAGCGACTCTTTTGATGAAAATTCCTTCTATTCTAGCAAGGCACCCGATTCCAACCCTTGTGACGGGAATGATTCCCAGAAATCTTCTGTCTCCAAGCATCAGGTGCAGCCCGCCGAAAGTGACGAGCTTGATGCTGACGGGCTTGTAGATCGTCGTTCTGATGAAATGCAACAGGTCGACCTCACAGATTCGCCGTACCGGGTCATTCCCCGGCCTGATTTTCCGGCCGCTCCCAATCTCCTTTATCGCCACGACTTGGGGCGCGAGAGAGATGAAGTTCCTCCCTTACCCCGAAGAGCACTAGATGAAGATGAAGATGAGCCTGAGTACTCTCCACCGGAGCCGACGCAGGCCGCACATTTAAAAGACGGCAGAACCGCCAATTCAGGAGAACCATACCCAGAGCGCGCCCGACGCGTCAGTGGGAGGCACAGGAACCAATACCAGAACGCTAGAAGATACGGATCACCTATGGACACGGATGTCAGGATTGTAAGAAGCCATATCACTTCCCCAATTGCCCCTCAACCATCACGTGTGTCTCCACTTGCGGTTGCTAAAGGTCCTCCGATATCGCAGAACCGGCGCCATCGTCAAGAGTTCGGTCAACAACGACATGTTGGGGAGGTCGATTCTGAGCGAATAAGTCCTGACATGACAATCTCTACGGTCCAGCCGAGAAAGAAAAGAAAGGTGCAGGATGGCAGAAGAGGAGGTCGAAGGCGCGCCATTGGTTCACCAGATGCTATCATCAAAGACGAACCCGTCTCTCCTCCTCCATTTCACGATGTGCCGCCACTGGGTGCGGCGAGAAATCGTCCATCAGGTGGAAGACCGATCTACATAGATGCCGAACCACCGCCAGATATTCGTTATGTCCCCGAACGACAACATGAGCCACCTACTCCGCAGGTAGTCTATGATATTGAAAGTCAAGCGCCTCATAGTGCACCTCGTGTCCTCTCAAGGGCTGGACTGAAAGACGTTCCTGGAGTCAACCAGGATCTCAGGCGAGTAGTGAGTGTCCACAATATATCACAGCGAGAATATGCAGACTCTTCTTACCAGACTTCTACGCGGCTCCCACAAATTCCATCCTATGCCGGTGGCGAAGGTGCTGGCCGGCCCCACGAAGGTCGACCAGTCGAAGCACAGCCGCGCTTATACGAGAGGCCGCAAATCGTAGAAGAGGCACCGCTGCTGTCACCCATTTATCGTAATGCAGAACCAACCCAGCGACTTGCATTACAACCGATGGGCCCACCACCTCAACGGCGTATTGTTGTTGACGAGTATGGGCAGCGTTTCTATGAGACTGTTCAGCCGACGCAAGCTTCGGTCGTGCCGCCCTCTGCCAGACGGGTAGATGTAGAGAGCTATAACGAGATGGCTGCCACTCGAAATAGTATGACCCGCGCTGCATCAGTTTTGGCAGAACCCTACCGCGAAACGAGATATGTTCAGCAGGAAATGCCGCCGCCACAGATGGTCTACCGGCGCGTTAACGAAGCACCACGACCAGCCACATCGGATCTCCGGTACGTCACAGGGCTTCCGCGCCAATCTGATATTCGCTACATAACACGCGAGCCCATCGAAGCCACGCCTATTCCGCGAAGTGGAAGCGTGCAGATGTATGATTATCCCGTGCGGCAGTCGGCCTATCTCGACGATAGTGTGGCACCAAGAGAGCCGCTTGTGCGCGTGTCAAGCGTTCGACCTGCAGCTCGCGCATACGAGGAACCACGGGAAATGTTCGAGCGGGTCCAAAGTGTAAGGCCGGAAACTCGCGAGATGGACGTCTTCCCCGAAGAGCGCGCTCCACCCAGAAGAGAAGTGATGCAGTTGGAAGGACCTCGCTATGAGGTTAGACGGACTGCTGAAGGAGAACGGTACTATCGGATAGACGATGCTGGAAGGATGATGTTGGATGGAGCGGTCGAGGCAAGGCCAACGTACGCTCCAAGGTATTGATTAGAGAAGGTACATGTGGGCATGAAGTCCAGTAGTCGAGGATTCCAGCTGTCTGGAAGGTGTACTTTGGTTAGCAATTGGTGTCCCTAATCACCCAACTACAAGCATTACATTACTCCCATTGGCCCACCGGGTAGACTACTACAGCACTCCCTCTTTACTAGTGCGAGGAGGCTCAGGTAACCTTCGGCATCATGGAAGAAGGAGCACATCGTAGGGGCACCATTCTACACCAGGGCTTATCTACCGAGGTTCTCAATAAAACAATTCCCTTTGCAATGTCAGCGAAGCTTCCAAGATAAGTGTGTAGTATTTCCTTGTTTCGGTTAGCGGACCGAGTCGCTCTAGCCGCAGCTTGTCCGCCACACCCACCTCGATCCAAGATTACATCCACAGGATCCAATCCCTCAGCACTCGACATTTTCCCAGTTGCGCATCTTGGGGTGTGCCGCTGAAATGCATAAAATCACCAACTTCACAGGCCAGGCTCGCCATGGCTGGGACCGGATGACGCCGGCCGCCTTTGGCATGTCCAGGCCTCATACTGATGTCTCCACCTCCCAACAGCTCCGCCGCCCTCCGGGTCCTCCAACAGGCACCTCTCAGACGCCCGTCGATGCGACTGTCAATCTTGCCTTCAACGTGCCCTTTGCATCGAATCTGCCTGGACCTGAGGTGGATGATGTCCTCCATTCCAGCCCCGGGGCACTTCAACGATGGACATACCCCCCAGGGACAGCCGAGGGCACGCCAGTACATAAGCTCCCCGTTCATGCAAACAATATCGAGACGTTGAGGAAACTCTGCCGGCAAATCAGTGATCAAAGTGGAGGGAGACTTGAGGCCTCTGTTACCTCCTCTGAGCTGAAGGCCTCCCAATCATTGCAACGACGACCTCATGGCCAGGTTACCAATGTCTGCATATCTGGGGATGGGGATCTTGTCAACAAGATGCGTGCGAAGATCTTGAATGAGACCCCTATTTCGCTGGTAAGGCAACCATGGCAAAATTTCAGATGAATGCTGACACTCTTACTAGCGATCCGCCATTGTTGACATCAATCCCAATCTTATCACCGACGGCGTATCGAACAACATCCGAACGAATGTGCTTAGCCATATTGACCGGATAGCAAGCTACACGGGAACGGATATGTTCCTTTTGAATCCCAAGGGCACGGATCCTGAAGGCGCGGGTCTTTCATACACTGGCGGAGCGGAGACAGGTCTGGACCAAAGATATCGGGTGAACATTTTTGGCGACATGGAGAGCGTGGAACATGCAAAGACTCGAGTACTCATGATGATTGACCAGATTGTATGTCTACCCACCTCTTTCCTGTGTACAGACTGACCAGTGACCAGCTCAAGCACAAGATCGACGTCATAAAACTGGAGTTGACGATGCACACCCTGGTTTGCGGACGGACTCGCAAGAACATCAAGATGATCGAGTCAGCTACGAAAACAGCCATCTATTTTCCGCCACCTTTTCCTCGGGTTTTTAACTATGTCCCTCAGGGGGCTACTCGACGCAGCGAGGACGAAGTGTTCATCACTGGTGAGACGCAGGAAAGAATACAGCAGGCTAAGCAAAAGCTACGAGACCTCGTCATGGGCGTCAAGATTTATGTCAAAGACGTCATGGTCAACTGCAACAAGATTGACAACATCCTTCTAGATCGACTGGACAAGGTCAGAAAGGTGATGGAAACTAATGGCTCGTATGTTCTGTTCCCTCAACTTGGCAGCCAACGAGGTTTGGTGCGTGTGCAAGGTACGGAAATTCTTCACGTGGAGCGGACGGTGCGGGAAATTATGGCACTGGTAAGATGGTGTCGTTGGTAGGGAGATCCGCGCTGACATCGTTTGTCTAGGCAGGACAGTTCTATAGCGCGTCTTGGTGGGTCATGGTTCCAAACAACATGCAAGGAGGCGTGCCGCGGGCTCCTTCAGTTGCCGATATTCGCGTCATGCTGTCTGATATTTGTATCAACTCAGGCGCAGACTTGAGTTTTGATAAATTCACTTTCAACATCAATGGGTCAGACGATGCTGTCAAGGCTGCAATGATGGTCATCTACCAGATTCCGTTCGTCAACAGAAATGATTATCAGATTCGAGTGAAGATCGAGCTCGCAAACGAACACAAAGAGTTTGTTAGTGGCAAGAAGAATGGCAAGATCAACAAGATCATGGGGCAGAGTACAACTCAAATATCCTGTGGGCACTCTTCATGATAACTGACTGCGTAACAGGCAACGTACAGATCATATTCGACGGCTTCAACGAATATAACTTCTACATCGATGTATGTGGTACGAAGTATGAAGCCACGAAGAATGGACTGGATCTGGTGGAGCAGGAGATGCCTGCGTCGATCGCATTTCACGTTCCTGACCAATATCACAAGCGTATTATCGGCATTGGTGGACAGCACATTCAACGCATCATGAAAAAGTATTCTGTTTTTGTCAAATTCTCCAATGCGATGGACCGTGGAGGGACGAGTAAGGAAGACGACGACATCAAGGTCGACAACGTAATCTGTCGCACACCAGCACGTAATGCTCAAAGTCTCGATCTTGTGAAGCAAGAGATCATGGACATGGTGGAGAAAGTTGTAAGCGAAGATGAATCCCCTGCTGGTAGTATAATGTCCTTATCGGATGGTGATTAGGATGCCGAGTTCGTTTCAGAAACCGTTGTCATCAACCGCCTCTATCATCGTGAGCTCATTGCTCGAATGCACGAAATTGAAGAACTGGAAAAGAAATGGAATTGCAAAATCGATTTTCCAAACACAGAACAAGCAAGTGATGTTATCACCATATCTGGGCCGGAGTATCAAGTCCCTCAAGCTCTTGACGCGTTCTTGGTGAGTTGAAATCTGCCCACGAATGGGAAATCATCTCCCCCTACTAATCAAGCAATTTTTAGGGCATGGTGCCTGAGAAACACGAGATAGCCTTTCAGAACTCCGAAGAACTCTCCAACTTTTTCGCGTCTCCCGAGTTCCATGATGATGTCCGACAAAAGCTTAAAGATCAATACGAGGTTGATGCGCATGTCAACGCCACGCATCCCTTCGCCTCTACGCCCTCCGCATCTGTGGAGATACTTGCACCTCCCGCTGAGGGACACCTTGTACTTACTTATACACGCAACAATGCCGGTGGTTTGAAAGATGCCATCGATTTCCTTATTTCGCGTCTTGTAGCATACGGATTGGATGCTACCACCGTCAAGGGCGCTATTCCTCGGCCGAAATCTGATTCGTTCGAGGAGTCTCTTCCATTTTTCGATTCCAAGCTCCTTCAAAATGCACCCTCTATTCATTCCACCGACTCACCCACCCGCTCTACCTTCGGCGACACTGACAACGTCTCTTTGAGCGATCGCGCCTCTCTTTTCGAGCGTCTCCGCAAACCAGGCAGCATCTCATCATTTTCTTCGTTCATCAGTCGCAAAAACCAGAACAACTCAACCGGATCCTTCTTCAAACACGCTTCTTCCAATGCCAGCAAAGCATCACTCGTCTCGCAGGAAAGCCGTGACAGTGGTTATCGCAATCCATGGAACGACAGTGGGGTGAATCTACCGGAGGAGGATGTTCACGTTGGTGGCTGGCCACCACGCTTCGATACCAAATTTCCATTTACAAGCACGCCGGGCGACACCACGCCCAAACACGATCCTAGAGCGAGCTTTGATTCCGGTCGGCCTTCTACTTCGAATTCGACTTCAGGATACCCGGTCCCAATTGGGCCACCTCATCGTTAATCATGCAAAAATACCTATTCAGCGTCTCCTTTTTCCAAGCAATATACCCAGCATTGTGTGTCTTGTGAGGCGCGTTGAGAAGATTGGCGTATACTCGTCTTTACAGCTTGCTATTTTTATATGCTCAAATGATACCAGACCTTGCGTTTCTTGTTGCCACGGTCGTTGGGCCGGAACGTCGACTACGTGTTTTGTGATCGTCAGTACTCTCTTTTACATCATGAACACTCGATGCTTGTCTCGTCCATGTGTGGGTCTATTCATTTGTCAGTGTGTCAGGCAGTGATGCCGCTGAGCCTTTCCCCTTTGCTTGTTGGATGACAAACCCGATCAAGAATAGCTAGTAGAGCTATCCATGCTTATGAGATACCCGAGATATAAAAATGCAACTCACCCTCTCTATGAGCTCATCTTCAATTTTCTTAGTTGCTCGTAGCCGGTGTATGGCACGGCCTATTTCTCCCCTCTACCTGAGCCCTCTTGCTCTCTCTTCTCCGTATGTCCTTGTTGGTATCATCAACGATACTCCGTACAGTAAATGGCAGAAGCCTGCGCCAAGCTCCGGTGAAACCGCTTTCGCTGTCCGACCCTGTTCTGCACAACTTGTACAAAACGATTGTCAGACTTCGAGTTCGCATTTGACACAGTCTATGTTCCACTAGAGCTGTGCAAAAATCAGCTCGGAATTGGTTTCCGACTTCTCGGGACAAGAGGCGTGCAAACAGTTGAAACATCACCCCATGCACAACCCTGCCACGCCTCGTCAACCTCGTTTCTTACTTTGTGATTGATATAAAACACTAATCTTCTACCTACTACACTGGTCGCACAGAGTCCTCAAGCTTTGGTCCTTAAAACCTACCTGCAACACGAAGCTGTGCCACAACTACCATCTCAGATTTCTACCAGCAAACCCTAGTGACATAAGTATTCATCAATTCAGGTTCAATATTTCCCATCCTCGCAAACATGCAATTCTTCTGTTATTCAACTTTGGCCATTACTGCTCCCATCCTTGTTCCAGCGTGCAATTATCATGTCAGCCAGACCGGAGGGCGGTAAGAACAAAGCACTCCAACGTACTCCTGATGATGAAGAACAAGTATCATCCCAGACATTGGCTTCACGGTCCAACTTAACTCTTCCAACGGAACTGCTATCGCAGTTTTCTCTATCATCAGAACGGCACTCACGGCCCTCCCCGTGTCCACCGCGACGTGCTGAACCTCGGCAACCACCACCACTATCCGCCAGAGGGACTCAGACGCGGCCCAAGAATCCTGTCACTAGGCTCCAATCCACAAAGTCCTCTACTCTACCTTGTCCTCAGGTAGTAGGTTCATCTTCTTCTCAGCAACCAAGAGGAACCTCGACTCCTCCCATGCGTGCACCACCACGACCGGGACCCGAACCCTCCGTTGCTGCTCGATTCCAACATCGAGTTCACTCTTCGCCTACCTCCTCTTTTCGAGAGCAGCAGCGACTGGCAGCCTTTAAAGCAGCGACAATATACACGGCACCGCAATGTCCGAATTATGGAGGCATGTTTCCGGGGGAGGGTGTGTGCCGTGATGGAAAGTGTCACTGTCACTCAGACTGTCAAGATCCCCAATGTTTGGTCTGTCATTTGTAAGAAGAATGGTTGCGGTGGGAGCAAGATGGGTCTTCTGAAGATTCAAGGATAATGTGTGTGATCTTCTGGTGTCAAATCCATTGCCAGGATTCTGTCTCGGCATGGGTATGCCTGGAGTCAGTTTGAAAAATGATGGACAACATGATACTTACTCATGGTCTAGTTGCTGGCCAGCTAGACCGGAATGGCTGCTAACCACACGAAGAATTCCGATGGCTTGTCTGACCACGCTTCGACGTTAGCGTCAAGCTACCTTGGCCAATAAGTGTTTCAAGCCTTAACTCCTGAAAATTGCTGCTGTAGCATATGATGTTCCAAAGCCGATGACTCCAAACAGATCATGCTATGCAGCCTATTGTCGTCATATAAGTTACTTGAGAACTTCTCTCTCCCTATCCCTTTCCCTATCCCTCTCTCTCTCCCTCTCCCTCCCTCATCTTCCTCTCCTTGCCCCCAACACCAAGCAATCTGTCACTATTCACTCTTCGACTCCTAAATTGCATCCAAGTCTCTTATTCCTGTTCATATTATTTGGTCAGCAGTCAAGATGAGTTTTGGCGAAAGTAACCAACAGTCCACATCTCGATATCCACTAAGAGCGCAATCAACACCGAATCCCATTTCTGGACAGTTTGCACAGCTCCACGCCTCACCAGGTGGAGCTCCAGCATCTCGGCCTCAACCACAAGCTCCTACTCAGTGGCATCGAACGCAAGATCCCTCTTACCGGCATCAAGCACGACTCCCTGTCACGACTCATTTGGACCAGGACCTTGCCGGCCGTTCACCCTATGTAGCACCGTACTGCCCAAGCGCGGGTGGTCTACTTGCAACAGCCGGGCGGTGCCAGGATCCGAGATGCCACTGCAAGTCGGTTTGTCAGAGGTCAGATTGCGCCGTCTGTGCGGCACGAAGATATATGCAGAAAAACAAGATCTACCAGCATGTGTTGGACCTGCGCCCTAAGATGTAAATAATCCAGGTGACTCGTACAGCGATCTCGCCGGGCGTCGTGTGTGGAAAGGCGAACATAGCTCGTTCATGAAGCAGCAATTTGTTTCTGATCAAAGCTCAGCGACACAAACTACTTTGAGAAACCATGCAATAGCGGCCATGTGATTGGTCTGTAACTGGGAGATTTGTCCTAGCTTCCCGAAGCAATGGTTGCCGAGACGTGGCTTGGTCGTTGTTGAAGTCGTTGTCCCAATACACAATCCTACAGATATTGTGCATGTTTGTAGTTTTTTCTTTTCGTTTACAAAGCAAGTCAATCCTTTCCTTGTTGGAGCACATTACCCATCTCCTGTGTCAAACGATATTATACGTTGATCTCCTGGCTTGTAGTAAGCGACCACTTTGACTGAGCTATCCATCGAGACAAATGCAGATTATTCTTCCGGTTTGCCTTCTCTAAGACTGCCTTGCAGTAACATCTGACCTAGGATGAGCCTGTGACTCTTCTTTCAGACCATACAAGCCAGACCAGGCCGCGTCCGGTTGACTGCAATGGTGAAACAGTGTGCTACGCCGTTTCATCAACATGTGTCTCGCCATCGTTGTCTCCAAGCAATGAAGTCGTTGCTTCTGCTAAATAAGTACAGCTTATAAGCTCTTTGACGGCCTCTTTGGCTAAATCTGGGCTTCTTTAAGGCAACACTCGTTGTAGGAGAGAACAGACTGCACCTGACTGTACTGTTTCATCTATCTGGGTACTAGTCTTACTGGAGCAAAAATGGACAAGGCCAGAAACCAAGGGGAAAGACGCATCGGAATGTCAAGAACGAGTACCTCTTTTTATATGGACAGACACCTTTATCAGGAGAATCTCCCTCACCTGGACAACTACATTCGTCTGGTCAGCTTACTCCACCGGGCTGGCCTTCAGATACAGTGGTAGGTCCAGCATCTCGGCCGGGATCACGAGCCACTGCGTCTGAAAAGCAACAGCAACAGAGACAGGTCCGGTTTGCTTCTCAACCATCTTCCGCGCCGCCATCTTCGCTTGGACAGCCTTTACGACCTTCATCCCACAAACTGATGGGTCCAGGATCTCGGCCTGAAGCACGAACCACTTCTCAGGGATTGAATTGGGTTGGGGTTTGAGGATTCAGGAGGAGGAAGAGGAGGCTGCTTAGGAAGGGAGCGGAGCGGAGCGGACTCTGCGTCAGCTATTGTATTGGGTGGGTGGGTAGAGGACTCCCTAGCGGAGCTCTCACCGATATATAACCCTGCGGGTCCTCAGCCGCTGGTGCGCAATACAATACAAGCAGTTGTCTACCATCGGAGCCAACTTTAGCCTCCCTCCCGGTCTCGTAAGCATGGAGAACGTAGAAATGTTGGCTCCAGGGGGGCCATTATAGAGAGATCTGAATCTAGGTCCTTTTCCTCGAAACTTTAACGCTATCTAGAACAATGAAAGGGTGCTCGTCCGGGGGCAGGGGAAAGCAAAGTTAAAGCTAAAGCCTGGTCATGCATGCACAAGGGGTATCTGGGGGTATCGAAAGAAAGAAAGAAAGAAAAAGAGAAAAAGAAAAGAAAAGAAAAAAAAAACATCCAGCGTCATCCACCTCATCACACGATAGGGCGCCCCCCCCCTCACCCCCAAAGAAGAACCCAAAAATCTAACCCGGTCAAAAACCTTGCCCGGCCTCAGAATGCAACGCCACACCCCACACCTTGACTCGATGCTGGCGCCCTTCCCGCTTCCCGCACCTCTCCCCGTCCTATCTTCGCGTATACAGACATATCAGGGATGTCCGGCACTGGATCACCCTCCTCCTTCCCTGCTCCCTCTCCCATAGCCCCAACCCTCAAATTCTTCTTCCCCATCCCGGAATCCAGCGTCCGCAACGTCGCGCTCCGACTTCTGCTCCAGCTCCTCGAATCAAGAACCGTCGTCGGTGCGGTGGTGCTGCTGGTCATGCTGACTATGGACTCGCTGTCGGAGTCTATGGGCGAGCCGAGACTTGAGGACGAGGACGAGGTAAAGGAGGGGGAGCGGCAGTTGTGAGAAGGGGTATGTGAGTGCTGGTGCTGATGCTGGTATTCTCGTTGGGGGAGGGGGGGTGTGATGGCGCATTGGTAGAATTGAGAGGGCTTGGGGGCTTTGGTTGTGGTGGAGGAGTGGGAGAGCCAGTGGGATATGCGGGTCCGGTTGGAGGAGGAAGAGGTGTCATGGCTTGGGGTTGGGCGGAGAGGTTTCTTGTAGGGGATGCGGATGCTTGGTGGTGGGAGGGTGGTGGTAGCAGGTCGGTTCTGTTCTTGTTCTTGTGCGTAGAGGGGTGGGAAGTCGAGCGTCGTATTGTCCGCAGTCTGAAGGGGGACAGAGCTAGGCTCTTCTTCCTCTAGCAGTTCGATTGCCGCTTCGCTTTGAGGGGGAAGGCCAGGTAAGGAGCTCCAGCAGATGGGATGGCTGTTCAGTGGTTCGAACGCACTGGGAGGCGGCTGAGATACCAGTGGAGACGATCCCTGCTGCTGCTGCTGCTGCTGCTGCCAGTAGTCTAGCTGCCTCTCGCCTACCATGGATATTGTCGGTCTAGTGGTTTGGGGCTGGGAGAAGGGCGGCAGCATGTTTTCTGACCGTGTACGGATCAGTGCCTTGGGCGGGACTTGAATCTCGCCCAGATCGGTGAAGGCGACATGTTCGAATCCGGGAAGGTCCGAGAGTCGGTTACCAGGTAGGTAAATGCTGAGCTCCAATGGTCTGAACTGTTGCCTACAAGGAGACATCCTGTCCGCGGTTGTGACGGGCAGAGGAGCGCTGATGTCCGGCATGGACAATTGTTTCTTGATTATAAGACTGGCTCGGATGGATGCTTTCGAGGCAAGCTCCTTGCCTCGTGATACCCAATGCGACATGCGATTTACAGAACAAGGACTCGGACCTGGTGATTTAGGCATCTCGTCGTAGAAGACCAGCTTCATTGGGGGGACGAGGTGCGGTTGATTATGGGCCACCTTCATTTCGCGCTCGACACCTGTGCCCGTCTTGTCAGCGCAAAGCAGTCTGAAGATGCGGACGTAGGCTCACCGCTCGTCACAGCAACGCTGCCTGAGCGTTGGGCCTGGCCGAAGCAACTCAGCAGGATGGCCAGCCATCTCGTGAATATCCCATCGGCAGAACCTGGCTGCGACATCCTCACGAAAAAGCCCGCTGGCACCAGAAGCTACACGAAGGCTGTCCAAGTGCGCGCACCACGAGAAGTGAAGACATGACGGGCGTCTTAAGAGAAAAGAGACTCTAGAAAAGAGACTCGAGGAAAGTTGAAACGAGGTGGTTAGAAGCATCGGTCACACGGGCTTGAGTGACGCGTTGGTGATCAATCAGCTTGTTGCAAAGCGCTGCTTGAGGAAGCGCAACGTTGCAAGATGGCAGAGGAATGGTATCCATTGGTATCCATTGGACCTAAACTTGCCCCGGTATCCCGGGTACTAGAGCTGTCAATTTGGACGCAAGGAAGGCTGATACATTGAAAGCCTCAAGAGTTGGGGTTTGTGCACGTTCATTGGTGGAGGCGGGAAAGTGTCAGATCTGTAACCTGCCCAATCAGGAACTCATCTCAAAGGGAAAGGTCTTGGCATGTGCATCTGTCAGTACAGAGTACCTAGTACGAGTAGCTAGTGATGGGGATGGCACTGCACATGTGACTAAATCACTTGAATATAAGTGGCCCAGAAGTACAATGGGCCCAGACTGTTGCACAAAGGGTGTGGTCAATAAAAGAAATTAGATCTTCAGAGATAAATCAGCGATATGTAGCTTAATCAGGTAACTTTTTCCACTCCAACCACTGCGCTATTGCTGATCTCAACCTCAATTCCCAACCATCACCCTGAGGAAGCGGTGGTCTTCCCACTCCAATGTACCAGCTTCAGGTTGCTAAGAAGCACTGCAAGCTCTCAAGATTTGAAGCTGATTGCTCGTTTGCGCATATTCATACCATCATAGCTATCAATGGTTGTTTTCAAGGTCATACTAAGAGACTGCGCCTGGTTGGTAAGCTCGGTTGCCTGGCTTTGAACCCTATCGATGAGCCCAAAGGCGATCGTCTGTATGTAACAGATAAGAATTCATTCAGGTACAAAAACTCACAGGTGGTTACTCACATCAACAATGTTCTCCACTTGGCGAAGCACAGCAGCTATCGGCGCTCCAATGAATGGAACAGTTTGAAAGAGGCCAGCCTTGCCAATGAGAATGTTCAAAAGGACCTGATGGACACGTACAAACTGAGTCAAAGTCAGAACTTGGCGGTTTTAGAGCTTTACCGGAATCCTACATCTCTAAAAGCATCTGCGATAGCCTGTGCTTCGTTCGCATCGTCGACATTTGGGGTTTGCTGCATAGCTGCAATATCGCTTGTAGCGGTCGCCACGATGGCGGTAAACCCAGCGATGATTTTTTAAATCTCTGTCAGCGGCGAAGAGACGAGTGCCCGAAAGAGCACGCGACGAACTGGAAATGGACCCTGCCCAACGACCATAAGAGGGCCATTGATGATGCTGATAGACTGTGCCGGCGTCTGTAAGGCCTGAGACATTGTAGTAAGAATACCGATGTGCTCTACCATTTGCTTAGGTGTCGCGGATGAAATGACGAATGGAGCGGCAGCCAGAGCCACTGTAAGGACTTTGATTGGGCTGAGCATCGTGACAACAATGCGCAAGGTGTTGGGGTACAATATGTTTGTGTAGGAATGGGAGCTTCCAAGTCGATAAGCAAAGCGATTTGTGGATTGGTTGGGTGGGAGACATTGGCAGTTCTTCGACCTCTTTATGACTCTTCCCGTCATGGTCGAAGCATTCTTTCACATGTGAGTATAAATGAAATTGTCCTAGTAACTCCCCATGAAAGGTGGAAGACCACGCCGTTGATAGATGGTTCTAGGTCGATGACACTTCGGAGGAGCCCTTTCGGAATCTTCATACTTGTCCCGATTATGCATGTGTTCATGTCTGACCCTCAGATATGTGGTATCGAGGTCGGTTAATCCGTCTCTGGGACGACTATTAGTGGATAAGGATTGAAGCTGAGGAGTACTTCAAGTAAGGCCGGAGAGTACGTTGATCCCTCTGGCATACTACGGTACCAGGCAGAAGTGATGTTAGCTCAGTGCTAGTATCTTTGCCTCAAGACAGACTTCAAACGAAACAGCTAGCCTTGATCAGCTAAGTGGTACTCTGTACTGTTATGGCAAATACATATGAACGATGGTCGAAGAAGCTTCTACTAGTATGGCAGGAGGCATAACTGTTGTTAGCTTCAAGCCAGAGATCTTGCAGTCTTAAGGAATCTGCACTTTACTGAAACGACGTTAGTGTGTATTGATCTCAGCATAGAGCTATTCATCAAGATTAGTGAGGGGGTCAACACTTACAATGGCTCCGGAGGATGCCTGACCCTTGTATTGAGAACTAGCTATAACTAGACCACGCTAACAATACTTATGCCTCCTACCGTACTCCGTAGTAGACATGAATGTGACGCTGTATCAAAAGTGCTAACATTATTTCTGCCTCATACCGTGGTAGAATTTGCGCGTATAAACGAAAGGCAGCCAATAGTGCACTCGTACTTCTCCATCCTACGCTAAGTGGACCACGGAAGGTACTACAAGAGTGCATGTGAGAGACGTAGACCTATATTACTGCTGAATCAACGTTCGTGAGTTAGCTGAAGGAAAAATGAAACAAGCCTATTGTGGGTTAAAAGGAGACCCACGCGCTTAGCGTACTACATAGGCTAAGTGGTGTCAAGTCTGACAATTCAACCAGTCAAGTCTCGACAGTTACCTCCCAACCCTGAGCATAGTACTAACAAGTAGCTTAATTATGTCTGAGCTACTAGTAGTGAGTGGGGACGCATCACTTACGTAGTAAGTGTGGTTCGAAACCCACAAGCGCTGTCCTTTTTGTGGAGTGGTTGATGTGTCTCTCTTCTCTGGTAGGATTGGCGGAAACATCGCTCTGTTTTGCTAGCAAGGGCTTGGTAGCAGAAAAGAGATCACATAATGATAAAGGGGAACAAAGTGCAGTGTAAATTCTTGATCACAGACCACCAAAGAATGGTGTTTCAACCGGCACCTAATAATTACAAGAACGTATATTGCCATGGTATTCTGCCGCAACTCCCCCGCTGTGCAACGAAAACGCTCGAAACTGACTTCGTAAGGAAACACAGACTCAGGAACGCCGATCCGGAGAGTCCCATGGGTTGTGCTCCTCTCCTAATGGTGCTTGACTTGTCGAGCGCTCCGCCTCGGCATCCTCATCTGGATCCTCACCCACTGCGAATTCTGGCGGTTTGGCTGATGCTTTCACACTACTGGGGTCGAATCCTTCCCTAATGTCTTCACCCAAGTCTTCGTCAGAATATGTCCGCACAAAATGTTTCTGCTCATCTCTGTTCCAAGCAGGCCCGCCCTCTTTACGTGCGCGCACTCTTTCGGCTCCCTCTGCGTCAATGTCCTCGACCACCAGGTCGACCAGTTGGCTCTTTCCAGACCCCGACGACCCCGGGCGACCAGAACTGCCAATGAGTTTGGCAGCAATACCTGACCCAGGTTCACTCGATGTAGAACTGCCGCTACGCTTGCCCCTTCGAATGTCTCTCCTTATCTCCCTTCTTCTCCGTTTCTCGTGGTCTTTGGTCGGTTGGAACAGGTGTCGGTTTGTTGATGTGGTCAATAAATTGGGGTCCTGGGTCATCCATCTTTCCTTTGACGGCTGATTGACAGTGACAACAGGGTACTTAAGAGTAGTCAGCTTCAGTAAAGCGGCCCACTGTTCAAGAAAGCCTTACCTTCCAATCTCCAAACTCGAGTGCTCTCGCGTTAGCGTATAATCTCTCATCTTCAGGGTCGATAGCGATTTCTGCGTTTGGTGACGTGGCCCGGTACTCCCGCGCCTTGCTGTCCGACCTCGTTCGAGGCGCCCCGTTACTTGCTCCAGCATCTGAGAGCAGTGGCGTGCGAATGTTAGCCTGGTGAGGCTTGGGAATCCAATATTTGGCCTTTCCGCCTCTCTCATATCTCATTCCGTCCATCATCCGAGCCACGCGTGATTCAGACTCCTCATGGGCGAGCACGTTGTCACCGGAGTCGAATGCGCGGTAGTCATATTTCTTTCCTTGAAACGTTTCTTTGCTATCTTCAATCAAGTCCCGGACGCCAAAAGCGTCACGCAACGCATATTTGACAGGCATTCGTGCAGCAGATATCGTCACATCAGCGTAGTCATGCCACGAGAACGCATACCAGTGTGACACAGCAAATATGGGCATCTCGAAACATATCAAAGCGTCCTGAATGGCAGCAGCTAGATTATCCGGTGTGTATCCAGGAACGTCGTTTGGTATTGCACCTAGGAATTGCAGAATTGAGAGGAAAAAGCCTTGCCAGTATGAAGCAAAGATAATCAACTTGATGCAAAGGAACTTTGGTACGGGTCGAAAAGGTTTCAGGTCCTCAGACATGCAAACCCAGAACATAGCAAGAGAATATAGACTCACAGACACGCTGATGTTATACAGAATGCCGGTCCACAGATAACCTGAAGTCAACCCAAGATAACCCTCTTGATATGTATCAGTGGCTTTCATTATAATCGTGACAAAGCTCAGGATAGGCTTCAGCCAGGCGTATTGTAAGATGCCCCGTTTGATAGCCAGGAAAGTGTGGGGGTCTGATATGTCGACTTTGGAGCAATACAGACTTAAGGGCCATGGATGCGATACAGGCTGTCTACCATGCATCATTACAATCAAGGACCGTTCGCCACCAATGAAGTTGACGAGAAGTTGTAGAAAGGTATATATCGTGAAGGCTTCATAGATGTCTCGAATCGGGTCCAGCCAGAATGCTGCTTTCAACGACTTGATGCTGCCCCATGAGGACGCAGCATATATGGGAACCATGAGCAAGATGCGGACGACATATCGCTGAAGGAGAGGTTTCCGGTAGTTCTTTGTTTGAAGCCATATGGAACTAATCGCCAATAACATTAGGCCATGAAATAACAAGTCATTTTTGCAGAGCTTACAGCAGCGAGATCACCGTCGCAATCAGAGAGGCTACTCCAGCGAGGATTATTGTGATTTTGGTAAGCTTGTCCCCCGTTCCTCCACCGGATGCTCCTTTGGGCATGATAGGCAAGGAGTTGGGTCACCACAGTGGTCTCAAGAGAGAGCCATGAGATTGTGTAAACAGGCTCATTCGACAGTCGGAGGTAAGATGTCCTGGATGCCGTGCCTGGACTGCGAAGATGTGATCGATGAGGACTGCATACAATTGATGGTAGAATCACCTGGCAATCACAGTGTTACACATTAGATCAGTGACCACAATGTCGGAGCCTGCTTGCGGGGAGCACATCCGAGGCCAAAGGCAGGTGACAAATTAAATGAGACAACACTATTCACGTTCAACCATATCTGGTCCCATGATTCGTGTCATTTAATTTCTTATGCTGGCCCTTTTTCTCATGAATCGCTTTCAAACCCAGGGAGTCTTCTATGCCCCGAACACGACGCCGCTTGATCCCACGTGCTTTCCTCTCAGCTTCGGAGGCTTCCACGAATGTTGGATCTCATGTGCACCAGTCAAGTCATAGTGCTTGAATCATGGATCGGCTGCTGTACTGTGACGGCATCCATCCAACTAAAGCATGGCTGGTGTTGCGAGCTTGACTGCACAGTCACTCGACCCCGGCCGTACGTTTAATTGGTATGTCTACTTGATCCCTACATGTATATGGCTCATGTTGCTTCAGGATCTATTTAGTGGAGCTGCTTGTCTGTGGTATCCTCACCCTTTTCTTCCTCTTCTACTTCAATCGGCTGTTCGCAACCCTTGTCTCCTACGGCCTTAGAGCTTATACATGGCACAAGTACCGAGTCTATGTTGATATTCAGGCACTTCAAATTTCATTGCTTGGAGGTCGCATCTTTTTCAAGGGAATACGATACCACGGAGAGAACGAAACTATCCTCATCCAAAATGGATACCTTACATGGAATTATTGGCTTCGATCTGTCAGGCAGGCCGATTGCGCCAGGTTCGTTGAATCCGGCCGCCAGCGCTCAGCAGGCTCAAGTGAAGAGTCTGGAAGCCCGTCCAACCCTTGTGCAACCGAGTCAAGTGTCAAAGAATCGGGCCCCTTCCAAGCTGTACAAGATCTACCATCTCGCATCTCGGTCTCAATATCAGGCTTCGAGTGGTTTGTATATAATCGGAGCCCAGCTTATGATACAATCGCAACTTCTGAGGCCCCAAATACCAAACAACATGCTGCCCAGCCAAACAGGAACGACCTCCGCAAGTCCAGCAGTCCGGCCACCTCGAAGAATTTCTCTTTGAAGAGTGTCGACATGGGCAACCATCAGCCAAATGCAAGTCCTCAGGGTTGTAATCTTGAAACTCGCAGCGCCCATCCAACATCAGCTACCAATACTATGGATTGGTCCACGCTACTCCTCTTAACACTGTTCCCAATATTGATTGAATGCAAGAAGGGTGCGATTGTCATTGGTAATGAACACACTCGCGCCATTCTAATGACCAGCTTCGAGGAGTTACGGGGACATATCGATGCTGCTAAATCCGGTTTGCACGACATCTACCGCCAGATCTTCGAATTTGACGTCACGCATCCTGTCGTGCAGATGAAACCAAACCCTGATTACCGACAGCCTCAGCAGGCTGCGGCACAGAACATCATTCGCAACGCTACTCCCGTCCACGTTAACCGAAGCTGGTGGGAGATTGATTGGCGCTTCCGTCGTCGAAAGCGAAAGGTAATGCATGGTATGCGTACGTTGATGCCCTATTTTCGTAGGTCAGTAGAGTCATTTCGACCATCGTCAGTCGACGAACAGAAACATGTTGGTACAGGCAACTGGCCAAATGAGATTCCTGGAGAGCGCAGGTGGCTTGGCCTTAGCCGATATCTTGATGAAGAAGAACGCGATGACCATGAGGGGTGGTCGAATGTTGAATATGCAAGGTTCTCGCAAGTCGTAGACTGCCCGAGCGTACATCTCAGCCTGTACTGGGATGTTCCAGGAGTAGTCGAACAAGACCCAGCCTCTGCTGGCAGGATTGAGACCGACCATGATACTGATCTAGGCAAGCCCCCAGCATATGGCCTTGACCTGATCCTTCGAGGGGGTAAAATCAATTATGGCCCTTGGGCTGACCGCGCCAGAGCTGAAATTCAAAACATCTTTTTCCCTAGTTCGTACCGGGATGCGGTCCCAGCAGATCCAGTATCGGTCGGGAGTTCCCGGCAGAGCACCATATTCAGCGTCCATATCCACATTGAAAATGAAACTTCTTTGCGACTTCCGACTAGGGAAAACTCTAAGGACTGGCAATGGAAAGGACGCGCCGGTGCTTTGCGTGGCGCATCTGGAATGAAACAGCAATCAGACAAGAAGCACACAAGAAAGAAGAAGGATGAAAAGAACTTGCTAGGGCCTGACGTTCGTCCATTCGGTTGGTTCGCCGTCTCCGTGTTGCCGAACTCAACAATCGCCTACAATATGGGCATGATAGCTAGGAAGCAAGGTTATCATAATGACCTTGAGCTTGACCTCAAGGGCACGAAGATGACAACAAGCGTAAATCATGCTCAACTCTGGAGCTGTGGGCCACAAAAGATATCATGCGATCTTTCCAATCCGCTAGGGTGGAATACATTTCACGAGTGGGCTTTTGATGTTCAGAGTCACAACATGGACTTGTTCCTCCTACGAGATCATATATTTCTGCTTGCTGATTTAGTCAACGATTTCACTTCTGGTCCAACAGGCGAATTCCTTACCTTTGTGCCTTTCATGTATCGGATCAAGCTCTCCTTCACCAACGTTAAACTGTACCTGAACGCGAATGACTCCAATATAATCGACAACCCATGTGATCTTGAAGAGAACACTTTCCTTATGCTTCATGGCAAGACTCTTCAGGTGGTCGTGGATATTCCTCTTGTGGACTATGCTCCTTCCGATCATAGGATCAATTTTCAGGCATGGGCACAAGATGCCCGGCTAGACCTTGCTACCCCTGCTTGGAATACGGCACACACTTTCGCAAGCGACATGCCTACTGCTAATTTAGAGGGATTTTCGATGGACGGTTGTTACAATTATTTCTCAAGTACATCGCCGAGCCTCACCGACTCATTGTTTTTGAACCTCAGGGGACTTTCGCCTAGAATATTTCTTCATGGATCCCTAATCAAGTATTGCATAAAGCTGAAAGACAATTACTTTGGGGATGATGTACATTTCCGTACCCTGGAGGAATATCAAGAGCTTCTAGCGAAACAGAAATGTGTGATGCCAGAGCCACTGTACTTCCGGAACAAAAAGGAAAACGATTTGGATGTTATTCTAAACGTCGCTTTCGAGCGAGTGTGCGCCCTTCTGCCCGCTAATGTATACTCTCGAAAGGAGAATTTGCGACTTGAATTTCTCTTCGTTGAAGCGGACGTCCGGTTTACTAATTATTACATGGACGTGGAGGCAATGTTCAGTCCAGTCAAGGCGGCATGGGAAAGTGTTAAAGATGAGGAGGCTGGGATTGACAACCATGTGTCCAAACCACAGGCTTTCGTCGATGGGATCCGGGTCTATGGCCATCGTCTATTTGGCCTGGCCCCTTCAGAGCCAACGTATGTTTGTAACTGGGACTTTGACGTTGGGAAGGTGACGGGTGAGTGCGTGACTGATTTCGTGCATATACTACTACGAGCTTTGAAATCCTTTTCGTTCACTCTTGAAGATGATGAGAATGCGCTTCCGCAATCACATATCCCGAAGATTCATGATGTTACCTTCCTGTCTGCAAGAATTGGTAACATCAATCTCTGTTTCTTCCAGGGAGAGACAGCAATTCTGTTCAGAGCGGATGGGATTGAAATCACGTTCAATGATTGGGCTGGCAAGAGATTTTCAGACCGACTCCAGCTTGAGATCCCTAATATTCAAGTTGCTGCTGTCGATAAGAAGGGTGCAACTCGGCACAGAGACGAGCCAACTTCCGTAGTTCCGACTCATGCACTCTTCCGGCTTTCTATTCTACTCAGGATGGTTGGAAAGAATCGAGACTTTGAGCGAGAACGACAATTACAACAGCATCATATACAATTTCATGATCAACGCACTCATCGGACACGCTGGCTCCTTCACGAACCAGTTGCACGGGTCCAAACACCCGAGCAGCGCAAAAGTACAAGACCAAACCCTCCCGCCATGACGGTTCCACATATGCCTGCTCCTTTGTCTGAAGGAGATTGTTTTTCATCATCTGCACGGGGCACAGAGATCCGAAGTCATGGAAAGACGTCAAATCCGAGATTGCGACATAAGAGCGCATTCTTTTCCAAAGCTTCATCTCTTGGTAGCTCTTCTTTGCAGTCAAGACGGGACTATTCTAAAGTGACGAACTCCCGTGTTGCACAACCATCCTATAGCCAACGTTCAAGCTCAGCACCACGGCCGAGAGATCAAGATGGGGGGGATACGGTCACTGTTGCTTTTAACGCTGCGGCTTCGGAAGAGCACGTTTGGGCAGACCGGGAAGTTGCACCCAACTGGAAGTCAACCACAACATATTCTAGTCCATGGACCGCACCATATTTCCCATTGGTAAATATTGCTCCTGAAACAGGCCACCTGCCGCTTAAGCCCTTTAATACCAAACTTGCCACGAAGACTAGTAAAAGGGGTGGTGATGGCCTAGAAGTCTTCGAGGATCTGGATGACGATCATAGACATCGCCATAGCCTGCTCGATATCGACTTAGGCGCTGATGCAAGAGGCTTTGCTTCTCCTAAATTCTTCACAGCAGTTGCGACTCTGGTCAAGGCTCTGCAGCCAGTCCATCCAACAGATCTACTGGACGGTTTACAAATTGATACAGTTACTCAGCTACAAAAGCTCGCAAATACTGGTACGGGATTTGCTCAGACAACAGACTATTGCATTCGGGTACCATTTGCCCATTTGAGGATCTTAGATGCGGATTGTCCGTGGCAAGCGACTAAGAATGAAGCAGATAGGGACCAGTATGACCTTCAGGTTGTAAGGCTCAAGATGACTGCCCGGTCTAGCACCAAAGAGAAGCGTCCGAGAAATAATTCAGAGGTCGAAAATTGCGTGTATTTACATGTCGTTCTTCAAAGGAGTCTTTTGGAGGTACATGACCAAAGTGCAGACGTGCTGAATGACAAAGCCGCAGCTAGGGTCTCCATCGAAGACCTAGTTCTGTGGATAGCATCTGACGGGCGAACAGTAGCCAAGTTCCAACAACGAGACCTCCAAATCACGTCTTGGGGCAGTCGAATTGAGTATCTAGCGTCGCTGATCCATCGCACAGTGGAGCTATCGGCGTTTGTTGTCGGTCAGTTTACGTCTGTAGACTTGGCTGCTCGCATTCCAAGCCTTGTCTACTATCTTACAGAAGTAGCAGGTGGATCCACAGACCCAGTGTTTCTCACCCGACCTTCCTATGTTCTTCGGACTGCTGATCATCATTTGAGACTTAATGACTCCTGGAAGATTATTTCTCGACTTAGACAAATGTTGCACTCTCTGGGCAGTCATCAGCAATCGGCACTTCTGCAAAAATGTACCAGCCCGGATATCTCGCTTCCTCCCAACGCCAAAGCTCTTGTCCTTGCTACGTTCGATAAATGGCGTTCTTGGGATCTTGCTGATGTCAGCAAGAGTTTGATCATGGAGTTAATCTGGGGCAAATTTACGCCAAAGGAAAACTCGATGCCGCAGAATGGAGGACTCACTCTTGAATTTACTCTCGATAAGGTCAGTTTGATATTGGACCCAGGCCCAAAAGAGAACCAAATCGCTATCCACGGTATTGGTACTGCGATCTCGACGGCGGAAGAATCTCGCTATGATATGAAACATGAACCTAGCGACGTTTTTCGACCAAGGATAGTCACGGTACAGATCTACTGTTCTAGTTTCGGTATACATCTCAATTGGGAACTTGTGGAGCTAATAGGTGAAACAATGGAGCTGTTCAACTCCGAACATAGAGAGAGAAAGGGATCCACAGACGAGATCACAAACAAGGAGCAACTTCCAGTGCCAGTAAAGCAGCTCCATTTCGTCGTTGGCCTAGACGCCGGGGTCGTCACGTTTGACAGTATTAACATAAACCTTGCCATGGCTGCTTCTGGTGTCAGAGGATCCATGTTGCATCAAGTGGATGCCAAAGCATTCAAGACAACCAATCTGCTTCTGATGTCCCGATCAGCTTCTGCAAGTCTTAGGGATGATGAAGCAGTGCTGCTGGATTGGCTTCTGTACAATACTACAGTGTCTTTGTGCAGGACAGTTCCCTTATCACCGAGTTCAGATCTTGCTGTTCCGAGAGCAACGGCGAAATGCGAGAGACTGGATTTCGAGATCAAAGAAGACATCAATAATTCTCTAAAGGTTGCAAATCGAGTGATAAGAGACGAAGTGAATATCCTCAATGGTATGGCGGCGCGGCTTAACGCTCGCAGCCAGTCCCTCCAGACGAAAGAGCACTCCAATGCCGGACCGCAGCAACATATCTACATTGCCTTGTTACTTACTCACTACACACTCAGTGTTGCGATATTGCCATCACTCACCTACGTCATCTCGGGTAACGGTGCAAGGACATCAGCTGTTCCAAGGACGTCGTCTAGAATGATCATAAACTTCGATCTCGAAGATAACAGTCATGCATTCAAGCTGCAAAACACGGACACGGCCAGTCAAGTGGCGATGTTGAAAATACCACCAATCAATAGTAAGGTGATATTGTGTCAAAGCACGAAGTCTACAAATATCATGATAGACACGACTTTGAACGAAGTAGACTTGGATGCAAGGTCTGTAAGGTCTTGCGTCGACATTATCAACAAGCCAGAGGTCGTCCGATCGTTAGTGAACGCAAAGAAGAGCGTCCAGCACGCATCAGCCCAACTGGATACCATATTTTCGTCGCAAACCGGCATGGATGCAGAGACTTCCAGCCACTCTACGACGTTGTTGTACAAAGCCAAAGTGACCCTAGTCGGGCTTAAGGTGCATGTCAGCGCGCCCGCTCTGAAGTCACAAGACTACCGCTCGGACCTGGATTTTGTTCTAGGCCTTACCACTTTTCGATCATGGAATGAAGACGTACAACAAGGCGTCGTGCATGAACGGCCCCAATTCGACGTCGCATTTCGACGCATCAGCCTGAACGTCTACCGGCGAAGGAGTGGTGTTGCCATTAAATCAGGCAATCTCGACTTCAGTGGTCAAGTGACAGGAAGGACCAGCACCGACGGCGAGAAGAACCAGATACAATTATATCACGCTGCAAGTGTTGGCCTTAACGCCAACTTGAGCGCCGAAACGGCCTCTCTGATTGTCGATATTGCGGCACATCTCCAGGAACGAATCAAGTCATTCACGCTGGCAGACGAAGTTAAGCGGTTGAAACCGTTGCGTCGATTGACTACTGCTGGCCTGAGCGACCCACCTATGATTAAAGTCTCCGCTGATGATGGCAAGGAAGAGGAGCAAGCTGGATCCAGTAGTCTCTTCGACTCTGTCTATTCGCTCGATCTGAATGCTATCAGCATTGCATGGAGACTTGACGCTAAGATACCTAAATCAACCCCCAGGCAAGCCGAAGATCTTGTGTTTTCGATCCGAAAGGTAAATCTAAACACAAAGCGAGAAGGGTCCGCTACATTAACTATCACGGACCTCCAACTGCAGATGGTCCCGAAATCACTGGAAGCCCACGAACGATCCTTGAACTCTGCTCTCATGCCAGATGTGGTTTTTAAAGTTGCCTACCTATCAACCAAGAAGGGCCGGAGATTTGCATTCCAAGCAGCGGGAAAGGCTCTTGACTTACGTCTGACCTCTGACTTCATAGTTCCAGCCACTGCCCTTCGCGCATCGCTTGCCGCTGCTAGTGCAGAGCTGCGTGAGGGAAGTGCATTATGGGCATCACAGCCTGTAGCGTTTAAAAAAGAGTCCACTAGTCTTTTTGGCAGAAAGTACTTAGCTTCACTGCTCATTGATGCAGACTTTGCTGGCGCTGTTGTCAATATCCAGGCTCGCAAACCCGACGAGGAACGGAAGAGCGTATTTGGGATTCTCAAAGGTGATAAAAGGTCTCGCGCAGGGCGGTATGACCAGGCTGTTCAAGGCGATGGTGCAACTCTCCGCGCCCCAGGGGTGGCAATGAAAGTTGAGTACTCAGACAACGGGCGAGATGACCCATCACTGAATGCAGAGATCAAGGTCGCAGCGTCCTCGAACGTGCTCTACCCATCTGTTGTGCCCTTGATCACTGAAGCGTCCTCTAGCATCAAAGAAATTGTCGGTAGTCCAGACGACAGCGCGGAAAAGCCTATAATCCGAGAGATCCAAAAGCCCCCTTCGAGTCCTACGCTAGCATCTAGCAAACCTACCAACCTGATGGGCCGCTGCAAGCTGGATCTCTCAATATGGATCAGGAAACAAGAGTTTAGCCTCAGCTGCCAGCCAATTGCCCGCGTCGCAGCCACAGCTAAATTTAGCGACTCATTCATAGCAGTCAACACAGTTCAATCGCCTGAGCAGGGGCGTTTCTTTGCTCTGTCAGCAAATTTCAGTGATCTTCATGCATCAGTCCAGCATGTCTATTCTCGGGAGTCTACCGCCAGCTTCGAAGTCGATTCGATTGTGCTGTCTATGATGAACAGCAAGCATGTGAGCAATATAACAGGTGTCTCTGCGATTTTGAACGTCAGTCCTATGAAAGCATCAGTGAATGCGAAACAGCTGCAGGATTTCCTTCTGTTTCGGGAGATCTGGTACCCGGCTGAGCTCAGACAAACTGCGTCGAGTCCAACAGCTGCCTCCGCTGCCCCTGAGAATCAAGCTATCGTTGTACAGAGGTATCAGCAAGTTGCGGCTGCTGGGGCGTTTCCATGGAATGCCGTCGTTGCAGTCCAAGAGTTGACGGTGCAAGTAGACCTCGGGCAGAGTCTTGGAAAATCCATCTTCACTGTGTCTCAATTATGGGCATCCTCCAAAAAGGCGTCTGACTTCGAACAGAACTTGTGCCTGGGTTTTGAAAAGATTGGCGTCGAATGCACAGGAAGAATGAGCGGATTCGTCGAATTACAGAATTTTCGGGTGAGAACGTCGATACGATGGCCACAGATGCAGACAGCTCTGGAACAGATACCGCTCGTGCAAGCGTCGCTCGGGTTGGATCAATTACGTGTCAAAGCAGCTTTTGACTATCAGCCCTTTGCAATAGCTGAGATCTCGAAGTTTGAGTTTTTGATGTACAACATTCGACCAAGACAGAGCGGCGAAAAGGACAGACTACTTGGTAATTTGGAGGGTGAGAAGGTTCAGGTCTTCTGCACGACTGGTAGCGCCTCTCAGGCCCTAGCGTTGTATCAAGCTGTGGTCCGCCTTGTTCAAGAAAAAGAGGCAGCATATGAAACATCGTTGAAAGAGCTCGACAGATATCTGCGACGAAAGTCTGTGTTTCCGTCCTCGACATGGACTGCCGCCTCGACTGAACCAGGCGAGGAGGAGAAAGATGTCTTACAAGGGCCCTTTTCTCTACATACCAAGGTTGTTGTTACATTAAGAGCTGTCAATGTCGGAGCATTTCCCACCACTTTCTTCGATAATCAGATTTTCAAGGTCGAAGCAAAAGATGCGCAAGCCCGATTTGCTGTGTCTGCAAAAGAGGGAAAGACACATTCAGGCCTTGGACTTACTTTGGGCCAGCTTCGGGTAGCACTGTCCAACGTCAACCGGAGTAACACCCAAGCGCTTGGAGAGGTATCCGTTAGCGACGTTGTGAGCCGTGCCACAGGTTCTCGGGGCGGCACGATCCTAAAGGTCCCTAAAGTCGTTGCCACTATGCAGACATGGCAAGGGGCTTCCTCCAACAGCATTGAGTACATCTTCAAAAGCACCTTTGAGGGAAAGGTGGATGTGGGATGGAACTACTCCCGAATCAGCTTCATCCGAGGCATGTGGTCTACCCATTTGCGAGCATTGGCATCGAGACTTGGCAAACCGTTGCCACAATCCGCGGTGCAAATCACCGGTGGTCCTCAGCCTGATGACAAAGGGGAGGGCAAAAACCAAGAGAAGATCACGGCAGTAGTGAATGTTCCCCAGTCACGTTT